TATGTAAATACCAAATATGTTTACAATAAAATGGACAAGCCATATTGACCTGACTGCAGATTAAAAAAAAAAAAAAATTGAAATTGATTTTTAAAAAGTTTAATAAATTATATTAAAATAAAAATAAAAAACAAAAAAAAATATTTGTCCATAAATAAAAAATAAAAGGGAGAAATATAAATAAATAAATTTTTAGATTAATAAAATAGACTTTAGGAATTAGTCTTAATATACTGAATTTCTATATAAAATTAATAAAAAATAATTTTATTATAGAAGCTATTAACCTAATATACAGTATTATAATTAAAATATTAAAAAAAAATTGATAAAAGTATTTGAACAAGTAAAAATTAAAAAAAAAAATATCTTGAAAAGTTACAAATAAAAAGATTATAAATGATTACAAGTAAATTGAATATTAAATTTGTAAAATAGAGCTTAAAAATCTATAGTAATAAACCATAAATAATAATTTAAATAATTAGAGAATAATTAAAACTATAAAAAAACCAAATGTTATTTCTTAGATTATATTTGAAGAAAACCAAACTTTAACAATAAATAAGTAAAAATCAAACGGTTATATTTCAAATTAGAATAAATTAATATATGGAAAATATATTGGTGAAAAGTTATATGCTATAAAATGATCAAAAATATATTTATTTTTAGTTTTTAATCTGTAGTCAGGTTAATATAAATTGTTAAATGTCATCTAAAATATTTAGGTCTTGTGATCAAAAGAATGAAAAGTTTTTATCTGGCACGTCTTCATTATGGCATACATGTATTCGGGTTGTTCAAACAATTTTACCCTCATCCTCATCTCCTACTCCTATCGAAATTGTTATTTTTAATCAATTGCTTTCTCTGGTATCTATGATAATCCCTGTAATTTGGATTTTCCCTCGAAGCATTTTGTTTCTCTTCGTCCAACAAATCCCACAACCATTCGGGATACTCTTCATCGAGTTTTGATATCGGATCGGATCCATCCTTGAAAATGTTTATCCCCTTCAGGATAGTTCCAGCTGGTACGGATGATGCGACTTTAACTGATGTTTGTGTTCTCTCCGGTTTCGTTGAGGAGGATGAGGCTTGCGGGATGTGAACATTGAAATTCTGAGACACGTCATGACAAGTTATTAAAGGGTTGCATAAATGACCTTACCTCTAATCTCTCTAGAGGAAATAGCAGAGGCAAACTTATGAGAAAGTATATACGGTTTAAATTGATTGTAGGCAGGGACAGTGAATAAAACCGATTGTAGCCTTTTAAATTTCATTATTTGATGATATTCGGGAGTGGTAAAAAATTGATAACCCGATTTTATATTTAATGTGCTGAGTGGAAATGGCGATCGGCAAATCAAATTAATAGTAGTACACTTGTTTATACTGTACATAAAATTAAAAGTAGTAATAAAGAAACACTCTAAAACAAATTTAAATTTTCTAAGTGGAGTTTATGAAAAGATCTCATGCTCTGGGGATATTAAAATTTTTTTTTCTTGCGTAATAAATTATGTTCCAAAAGGGAAATTATGTTACACGGAATGTATGTTGAGATGGAAAAGTTCGCGCGGATTCGTATGACGTTGGATATACTTTAATAGGAATGGAACAGTCAAAGGTTTCAACATTAACTTCCTCGATCGCTTGATAATAATGGTGCCGTTCGTCCACATTAAGCGAAACCAATGGGAGCTGATCCTTTGGCCCAGTGATGAATTCCAACCGCAGGCACCACTGAAGTTTCACTACAGAAGGTAAGCGGAATGAGAAATTGAAGAGATGAATGTTAAAATTCGAAACATTATGATGTTTCACCTCCGGTTGTGGAGAAATCCGGAGTACAATTGGTTGGTATGGAAATGGAGAAGCTGATACGCTGAGCATTCAAACAAAATTCGTGATGTTCGCCATGCACTTTACGCGTCATGCGTGCTATTTGCGATTGTGGTCGATTCGCAATAGAAGGCTCAACAATCTCGCCATTCTCCAATGTTATGGAAACCTGCCGTGGAAATTCTGACGTTAAATTCATATGAAACAAAGCTTTCCTCTCCAAGCTCCGATGAGGCTATTGTCTGTTGACTAACCTGATAGGTGGGTATAACAGCTCCAGTAAAGTTCAATGTGCCAACCACAATGTCACCCAGTCGATAAGATGTCTTTAACAGACATAATTGGGCGACGCGCTGATTATTCTTACAGATGTCGTAATTCGCTAAAAAAAAAAAAAACAACGCCATTCTCCATTAGAGCAAGTCATTAGAGATGAATGGTTATATTGTTTTGACAAATAAAATACCTTTTCTCATATGTTTCGATAATGTTGTGGCAGTGTTTGCCACAGAGTTTTCATCTTTCTCTACAAACACATATGAATCGCTATCTCTTTTTTCAAGAGTCCTCTTGTTCTTAACTATTTCCTCATTACTGGTGTTTTTAACAAGTTTCTCAACATAATCCAAAAACTCCTCACGTTTGTTATCTATTGGGAAATGTTTTTAATTCAGTCAACATCACCATTCCCGACGAGCATCATGGATGATGACAATCGTTACCCCTTTTATGGACTGGCTGTGGTTTCATTTCATCTTCTTTGCATGACGTTGTAGCTTCATCTTTATAAATCACGACTGGGTTCATCAAATCATAGACCGGGCGTGACCCATCCTCTGTCAGGTGATGATGATCAATGGGAAACGGTCAGCGTGATTAATCTCAAAGAACTAAACAATTTTTTGATGATTTTTCCTTCTTTTACCGGAGACATAGTTGAACACACGAAAAGGCATTTGAACTATGTTCGATTGATGATTTAATCCTCCCCGGTGAGTTCCTATTATCAAGTTATATTGAAACCTAATCGCTTTACCGCGATGTGATGGAGGCAAATCGGTTGGCAACCTGGTCTCATACGTGTCTAATTCGAGATTTTTTAAAGACATTAATTTTTTCAATAGCCAAAGAAATTAAAGATGGAGCGTTACACACATGTACGAGTCTCTCCGGGCGCCAAGTGTAAATCACAGAATAGAATTGAGGGTGGAGTTGAGAAAACAGGTATGGATTTGCTGTCTGGATGAAAGATCGATCAAATATTTAATCGGTGAGAATTTCAATCGACCATAACATAGAATTATGAAATTACCTGCACGCTCTTGTAGATCTTGTAAACTCGAAGGGTGCATCGAATTCGAGATGCCCAACGTTCCACCACCAACCGCACCTCCTGTCACACCTCCACCAACTGGTCGATACATTGTTTTCGTCTTTAATGGTTCAAACTCAATCGACTTCACCAATAAACCATCGACAGTGAATTGTCCCACTATCTGTGCAAATCCCCACAGCAGCGTCTCGTACTTCTGAATGAGAGAGGGGGAAGATGAATGTCTGCTGGTGCTATGTCTTTTGTACTCTGAAAGCGATCCGCCCCACGTGTTGCTGCTTCTTTCGGGGTAACCGAGTCCATAAAAGTCCACGGAACTCCGTGGTGTTGACTCGGACGTGTCATAATCACTGACAGAAACCGTGTCGCTAGCATCCGCGTGTTGCAAGTTTATCAGACCACCGTCTCCATCCATCTCTTCGATTTCCGTGTAGGAAAACGGCTCTGTCACATGAGTAAATTTTATCACGGTTTGACGGAGTCGTTGATTCTTAAATGCAAATGTTGTACGTACCACCACCTCTTAGATTTTGATCACTCGACGAACTCCCAGTAGGAACTGTTTGAGGAAAGGTTTCGTCAGAATTCGATGGGGCGGACGATTCTCCGCCCAGTGCTAGTAACGAAAACGTTGAAGATGCAATCGCAGTCAACGTCGCTGATCGCTTGACAAAATTACGAAAGCCAAAAATTCCGGAATCACCTAGATCTCCAGCGAGGCTACTCTGTATAGAGGGATTTTCAACTATAACGGACAACGGGTTATTGTTTAACAGTTGCCTGGTTGACATTTTTTTCCCTTGCAGCTTAGAATCACTGTTGGATTTCGCGTGAGCTTTTACATCGTTGGATAATCTTTCGACACTGGGAAGAAGGTATGTGAAAGTAATTTCACACCGAAATCGTTCACCAGCGAAGAAAACTGCGTTTTGAGGAATCTTGGCGGTAACAACGATGGACATATTAAGTAAACTCAATTCTATTTAGGTCAACGTTTTTCCTATTGCGTGTACTTTATTTCAGAACTGACTTCAAAGTGTTCCTGTCAAATTGTCAGCATCGCTTCTTAAGATTTTTTTTTTAAAGTGTGCCTCGAAAATGTATATAATATATCGATACTGTATTAATATTAATTTAAATAATTTACGGTTGTTACACGTTTTAAATGGGTCACGGGAGGGCGTAAGTTGGATCCTCATTGGTCGATTTAAAATTATCTCAATTTTTCACGCGTTATATAAAATGCTGCGCCAGGTGAGCCGCTGAGACGCGTTTTCTACGAGTCGGGTCGCGTTTCAACGTTCACCCCTCTTTTGCACTATTTTATCGAGACATATACAATGCCGTTCGAGGTCAAGATACATCCTGTTGTCGCAGAGCAAGATCCCGTAATAGGTGTTAACACCAGTTCATACTACAGCTACAGACCAAAATCTAAAATCGAACCGGTCGTCTCCATTAGCCATATTGCTTCGGAACCAAAACCGAGGCAAAAGTGTTCAGGCGAGACTCCAGCCAGTCCTTCTCAAAACCGGCTAGTCGTTATTCAAGGTACTTCGATGAATTCTTCTGGATTTAAGACCACCAAAGTTGTGGATAGCACAAACACTTCTGAGGGTCGAGGCGTGGTAGCCTCAATTAGATACAAAATTGTTCCAACAGTCCCCAACTGCGACATCCCCATCACCGAAGAATTCGCACCTTCGGCCCTTGGAAATGAAAGTGACGACGAGGAGGAACAAAATACATTATCGAGAGTCTTCTGGACTATCTTGTTCTTTTTAATCGCACCATTCTGGTGCATTATAAAAGCTTTCTATCCGCTCGCACGAACCGTTCTCCATTCTGAAAAGCACAATAATAATATCAACAAACGTTCCAGCAGTGTTTCTATCAGATTCCTTTTGATACCAATCCTTCTGGCTGCTATCGTTTATATCATGCTGGCCGGTAACCTTGGACGCGAGAGTTACAGGGGCCCTCCTACTGACAATGGTCAGCTCCCTTCGTCTCCGAGAATTCACAGCCCATACGTTGAAGAAGTTAGACACTTTAAAAGAGAATTTCACAAATTAGCGCTCGAAGCCACGAAGAAGGTGCTTTCGCATCCTTATGAATTAGTTCGTTACGGTTTCAACGTCGAGATTAATATCAACTACAACTGGAAGCAACCTCGCTGTAACAAAAAGGGTGTCGTTTTTAAAAATGAAGTTTGCACTATCAAGAAGAAAAATGGCAAAAAGTGCCTGAGTGATGAATTCAATAGAACCAATCGAACTATTGTAGAAGATTTAAAGTGTTTTCTGTTGTCTTGAGGTGTCATCATCCATATATTAAATGATATGCGTGGCTTGTCTTCATATTTTGATTTACAGTTTTCGCAAATTTTTTGTATTCAATGACGTTGACATTTTTTGCGACCTCGTTCAATGAAAATAACAATAACAAAGCCTTCTTCAATGTTTGCTGTACTTTGCGAAAAATATTGTCTATCGTTCAACTACGAGTGGAATCATTTGCAATCCTCTTCCTCATTATAGACAAAGCTTAGACTTGAAACAATTTATTCGGGTCTTGAACCGCCGCTGTCCGAACCACCATCACCGCCACTGGAGCGATTCTCAGCTTCCTTCTGGAATTAGGAGGTCGACAAGCTTAGTGCGATAAAAATCAAGTAGCAAATGAGATTAATCGATATGCACGACACTAACCTTTTTGTACACCATCTCGAACAACTTCAAGCTTGCATTTTGCAACTCGTTGATCTCCTTGTTGATCTCGTCGACCTTGATGGATTCGCCGGACTGTACCTTAGTCAACAATTCTTGTAAGGATTGGATCCGTGATTTGATATTTGCAGCCTCTGTCTGATCCAATTGTTCTTTGAACTCATTCATGCTCTTTTCAATGTCGCTAATTGTATTCTCTGCACGATTAGATGCTTCTATAGTTTCTTTCTTTTCACGATCGGCCTCGGCGTGACGTTCGGCTTCGAAAATCATATTTTCAATCTCATCCTTGCTCAATCCAGACGAGGCAGCAATAGTGACTTTCGGAAATAGCCGATTGTTAAAATGAGAATTTGAACTGGCATTTATGATACGTGAATACGGAGGTATTCATACTCACTAGATTGATCCTTTCCTGTCGCAGTATCTCGTGCCGCCACATTCACGATACCATCTGCATCGATGTCAAACGTGACCTCAATCTGTGGGACGCCCTTGGGTAAAGGCGGAATGCCTCCCAGTTGAAAATTACCGAGCAACTTATTATCGTGAACCAATTCTCGTTCACCTTGGTACACCTTAATATCCACTTTCGTCTGACCATCAGCAGCCGTTGAGAATACCTGCGATTTCTTGGTTGGGATGGTGGTGTTCCTATTGATAAGTCGTGAAAACACTCCGCCAAGTGTCTCAATACCAAGGGACAATGGTGTAACATCTAGAAGTAAAATGTCGGTAACTTCGCCTGCCAGTACACCTCCCTAAATCAATAAACGTCGATCCAACTGTTTACGAAAGGATTCTTGTAAAGAAAAATGCAGAGATAAATGGGGAAGCTTACTTGTATCGCTGCCCCTATGGCCACAGCTTCATCCGGATTTACACTTTTGGTGGGTTCGCGTTTAAATATTGATTTCACCGTTTCATTAACTAAAGGCATGCGAGTCATACCCCCGACAAGTATAACTTCACCAATTTCTTTAGCATCAATGTTGGCATCCCTCAAGGCTTTCTTGCAAGGATCGACCGTTTTTTCGACAAGGTCTTTTGTTAATGATTCAAGTGTGGCTCGACTCAGTTTCATGTTGATGTGTTTTGGTCCGGTGGCATCAGCGGTAATATAAGGAAGGTTTATATCTGTCTAGAGGGCATGCGAGTAACACGCGTCAACAATACGAATCCTCGAAATGGTTTTTTCACATGAATCGGGTAAAAGGTACCTGCAGGGTGGATGATAATTCAATCTTGGCCTTCTCGGCTGCCTCACGGACGCGTTGAATTGCTATTCGATCCTGAGTCAGATCGATTCCTTGCTGCGTTGAAGATACAAAGAAAGGTGATTAGGTGAATGAAGTCAAAAGTATTACTTTCGGGATGCATACATCTTTTTTGAATTGATCAGTGATATACTTGACCAAGGTAGAATCGAAATCTTCGCCGCCCAAATGAGTATTTCCATTAGTCGATTTAACTTCGAATACACCCTTTTGTATCTCTAAAATGCTTATATCAAATGTTCCACCACCCAAGTCATAAACGGCAATTATTTTATCGCCGACTTTATCAAGTCCATAAGCCAATGCAGCCGCGGTAGGTTCGTTTATGACTCGGAGTACATTGAGTCCAGCAATTTGGCCCGCATCTTTTGTGGCCTGGCGTTGAGAGTCGTTGAAATACGCGGGCACGGTTATAACTAGAAACAAGGAGAAAAAAAGTCAAAAGTCCATTCACAGCGATCAATCCAATGATTTTTTGAAATGTCTACCTGCATTCTTAACAGAACTTCCTACATAAGCCTCTATATCGTAATAACATTTTTCATAAGATCATTAGAAGAGTGGATGAACAAGTGTAAGCCAACTTCCAGAACATTTACCCGCCGTTTCCTTCTTCTTTCCCACTACAAAGCCACCAATCTGAGAGGGACTGTATCTTTTTCCGCGTGCCTCTAGCCACGCATCGCCATTCGAATGCTCAACTATCTTGTATGGAACGTGCTCGATATCCCTCTGAACCTCATGATCTTTAAATTTTCGGCCGATCAATCGCTTTGTAGCAAAGAACGTGTTTTCCGGATTAACAACAGCCTACATACGTAATTTCGAAAGGTGTTAACTGATGCCAAGCCTCTGTACGTATGCCAAAAATTCCACGTACCTGTCGTTTAGCAGGCATCCCGACCAATATTTCACCTTCTTTTGTGAAAGCGACCACCGATGGTGTTGTACGCCCGCCTTCGGAATTTTCAATAACTCGAGGGGTTTTTCCTTCCATAACAGCCACGCAGCTGTTGGTCGTTCCTAGATCTACGCCGATCACTTTTCCTTGCGCTCTGGACCTATCGGACAAAATTGGCAAGTTAAAAAAAGGTTCGCTCGGTAGGTGGAAAATAAAGTTTTCCCTTAAGGGACGAACCTGTCCGCGGTAGAAGCGAGTCGTCGCGTTGCATTGTACAAAATCTAATGATAGTTTATCAGAAAGTTTAATTTAAAATTGAGATTATAACGCGTGGCGCACGACATATTGAACAATAACTACCGATTTACGCCCAAGTTTTCGCGCGGAATTGTGAAATACAGAATGTCCAAGCCTAGAGCAAAGCATTCTCACGAATATTTAAGGATAGTTGAACGAGGAGAAGGTCGTTAACAATTTTTACTTTCACGAATTCATAAAGCGCACACTTTTTTCTAATTAATTACATCTGGAATCACATGAAAAGGAAACTACGTAATTTTTTTTTGTACAGTATATATATATATATACACTATATAATTTTTTTTTTTTTTTTTTTTTTAGATTGCATATGTGAAACTAAATTTAATTTAACAGAATCATGAGGATTGTGAGGTTGTTTTTATTTGTCGAGAGCAAAAGGAAAGTGAGGATGGTGTTACTTGATAAGGCAACTCTTATCAGACTTGCGATCGATCTATTATATGCATCGTTGAAGATTGCCGGACCATTCGGATACGTTCTCTCTTTTTTTTTTTTTTTTTTCGATGAAATAGAATCTTTCGATAATGATATTTAAAGTTGAAAACCTTTCGAAGTTAAAGTCCGATGGTACATCTTTATTTAAGGATGTTTCGTTGTCATTATATGATAAAGAAATTATAACCATTTCGGGACCTAGCGGTGCAGGGTGAGTATTTCTGAAGTTGGTGGAGAACGCTTTAAAAATGTTATCCTTAATACATCGACGATTGGATAAAAGGAAGTCCACTTTCTTAAAGTGCCTAGCCCAATTGACGGTGTTTGAAGAGGGATACATGTTCTTGAATGATAGGTATGCTCAGAAATAATTGAATGCGGATTCCAGGGATAAAACCCGACTCAATTCCAATCATTCCGTTGACGAATTAGGAGTCCGGAAGAGTATGGAATTCCGAATTGGAGAACTCGTGTTCTGTATGTTCCGCAGAGAACCCGTGTGTACTTTACTTTTTTTTTTTTACGACCTCCAGTATTATCGCGACTTACCATAATTTTCCAATGTTGCAATTTTGATGAATAGCTATAATGCAGGGTACGCCACTGGAATTTAGTAAGAGAATAAGAATGTTTAAATCACAGCAAACGGTCAAAATTTTTCACGCTGATCCTGTGAGTTTTTTTTTTTTTAAAAAAAAAAGAATGTCGCGATGCGGAACAATTACAATAGTCAATTGAAATAAGATCTTTCATTCGTAGGTTGAAATATCCGGACGGTATGATAGCAAAGTTCATCGTCCTTAGAGTCGCCCTTAGAATTACTTTTTTTTAATCAAACGTCATCTCGCTAGATGGAACATCGCAGAAGAATTATGGGAAAAGGATTGGAATCAACTATCGGGCGGCGAGATGCAACGTATTTCACTAGCTATTGCCTTGTCGTGCAAACCCGAAATATTACTTCTTGATGGTATTCATTCACCTTTGGACGCATAAATTTATTAATGCAAGCATTACACTAACTTTTGGTCTCTATTGATGTGATTCCATCATTGAAAGAGCCAACATCAGCATTGGACCCAGTGACCTGCCTCATGGTCGAAAAGACTCTCAGGGAACATGCTTGCATTTGGGTGACGCACGATCCCGATCAAGAGAAACGCGTTTCAACTCATAGACTCGTGTTAAACGCAAACTCGGAAAGAAATGGACAAGCGCTAGTTCATATTTGACATAGATGTGTGAAACAGGCATGGTCCTGCTGGAAATTCATATTTAATCGAGTGATGGTCCGTTTGTTTGACGGGTATCCGAATATCCGTCAATCAACTGAATAAAAAACAAATAAAATTTTCCGTATCCACCCTTCATCCTTCTTCATTGTTCGTTGATCCAGATGACGCATTGGTCCTTCTGGAAACCCCAGTTGAGTACTTAAAGCTTAACATTCGCTCCATTATTACCCAATAATGAGATTCCCACCAGATTTTCCAACTCTTTGATTGCCTCCTTCGATTTACCCCGTTCAACTCCTTTTCATTATTACGAACGCATTTAATTAACGGAAAAAAAACAAGGAGAAAAGAAACAAAACGTAAAAAAGGCAGGATGGAATGAGAACTCACTTATCGTTTTCATTCCCAACTCTTTTGCCGACTTCAAATTCCTGATCAAGTACAAAAAAAAATAAACAATTAGTAATAAAGATAATATTTTGCGTGATGAATAAATTTTAGGATTGATGAGGATGTATTTACATTCCAATGTCGTCAAGAAATATAGCCTCTTTAGGTTCGATATTCAATTTGTTGCAAGCATATAGAAATATTCGCGGGTCGGGTTTCCTAGATTGCGAAATTACCGAATCGCCCGTGTACACAGTCGACTTCACAATCACACTGTAAGAGACACGTTACCTTAACCCAACGACACTTGATTCAATATACTCATCAAATAGATTTCTTAACTCCAAAGGCGCATTGCCTCCCAGCAACTCAATTTCCTGTAAATCATCAGGAGGAACCTGAAAATTGTTGGTCAATGCGGCAATTTTAAATTTTCCACTGGTCCTAAGGTTCTTTAATGCCGCGTAAACTATTGGATCAATTATTGCAGCCTCGGACATCATCTTCCTAAACAATTCCTTGCCATCAATTACAATGACGGACAAAAGAGACAAGTCGATTGTCGTGGAACCTGTTTTTTTTTTTTTTTGAAAAAAATAAAGTAAAATAAAATAAAATAAAAACTTTACCATTCAGTAAGATTTAATAAAAAGGATTTTTTATAAGTATACCTCCACGTGACCGCATGTATTCGAGGTAATTGTCCTTGTTCTTTGGGTCTGACAGCTCCGTGCCAAATATTTTGTAAAACTCGTAAAGCGAAATTTCCCCACGTTCCAAACGCTGTTTTCACAATTTATGAGGAGCGAAAATAATTGGTAGCACAAGCATACAGAGCATACAGAATGCCTACTTGAAATGCACCATTTTCCCCTTTGCTTGCACTATTACAGCGGAAAATCAAATTACATTAACAAAACCTCAAAAGCGAATATCACGATGAGACTGATTTCTCTCAACTTGCATCGATACATTAATAAAATTGGGTGGCAAATTGTGCTCTTTTTCATATTTGGCAATTCCATCGAAGGGCGAACCAACACAAACTCCACCCATATCAAATATTATAGCTTTATAACAAGTCATCTCAAGTATGATGATCAACGAACGTATGTGCATGCGCACGCACGAGTTTTTATTCTATTACTTTTGTCACGTGACAAACCAAGCAAACCTTTTTTTTTTTTTGTTTTTTTTTCTAAAGCTAATCCGCACGACATAATAAATACCTCCAAATAAATAATAATTTAGGATTCCATCCGTTCACCCTCTTCTTCCTCCTCGCTATCATCACCACCCTCTAATACACTAATCACAACATCATATTCTAAATCGCACCCCATATAAGAATCTGACATTACGTAAAGTTTTAACGAATGTTCGCCGGCTTCTGACGGGCAAGTGAAATCTAATTTTACATTCAAAACCTTATTCAAAGTGATTCGTTTAATGCCCAGCAACGCGTTTTTCGAATCATCTCCTAAAACAATCCACCACCCTTCGTCCTTCTTGTGAGGGAATCTTGGCGCATAAACGGGTCCCACGTCATCCTCAAAATCTTCACGGGTGAGTTTAACGTCCAGTATACCTTGAGAACTAGACACAAGTTCATCCTCATCCCTTATTCCATATTTAACATCAAGATCCGGATATCGATTAATAAATTTCGCTATCGCATTTCTCTTTGCTTTGTCCCTCTCTTTGTCCATCCGAAGTATTTCCTCACGTTCATCGTCCTCTAGTGAACCGACGTCGGCCACAGATTCAATACTCATTTCTTTGCAGCGACGAAGGTGTTCTTGCTCGAAATATGGAATTTGCTTTAATGGTGAATCATGACTCCACATTGCCTGAACGCACATCTGTGACAACTCCATGGCAGCCAATGCAGTATTCAGCCATCCGTTAGAACTTATGACGTCAACTATGGCTTGAATTAACGGGATAACCTGCGTCGTTAAATTTTACACAAAATTTAGTACCATCGAGATTGCTATTCTCCAAAGCTCAAGCTCAAAATCAATGACATACCTTTCCCAGAACTATGATTTGATCTGATTTCAGATCCGGCACCTTATCCAAATCGTATCTCGAAAAGTGGGCTTGCAAGAGAATGTTGGTTTTGATGTGGGGCGAATTAAATTTAGGATTGCCCAGTTTAACGGGAAGGTAATCGTATATTTTCTTGAGAACATTGTCCTCATGGTGTCTAATTGGAATTGACTCGAATTCGGCTGCCGAAGAGATGATCTCTAACAGACCTTTGAGTTTCGTTTTCTCGTTTAAGCTCATGCTAAACATCTCTATGGTCACATAACTGACATTGTAATAGGCCGCTATCATGCCCAAGTTAAGCGGCGATACCTCCAACTCGTCCTCGAGTGCAATACATTTCGATGCCGCGAGATCATTTATCGTCGTCTCAACTAATTCTGACAAGTGGTCCGATAGGTGCCGATGGTCAGAACCTTGCATGCCGTAATAGTTTGGATTTTCGACCATTCGTCGATACAAAAATGTCCATGTGAGGTAATCTACTGCATCCTGCTTATTCTCTATGGTCTTGGTCACGATTTCAGCGTTAAAATGATCGTTCAGGAAATGATCGAGATGAGATTCCACGGGCAAGGCTTCATATAAAAACTTTTTATAGAAATCCTTCTTGATGGCTTGACACATTAGCACACAACGACCGGTCTCATCCTCGTGCGGACGGCACGCCCGACCCATCATTTGCAGAACGTCCGTTATTTGATAGTCAGCGTATCGATGTTCTTTACCCTCAAAGTATTGGGTGCCCATGATGACGACCATATGACAACTCAAGTTCAATCCCCAACAAGTATCTCTTGACGCGACCACTACCTGTATCGATCCCGTTTCGAATAACTTCTCAACTATTAATTTGTCAAGTGTGCTGAGCGCTTCGTGATAAAATCCAATACCATGCGAAAGTGTATCCCTCAAATACTCGTCGCTGACTTTTTCCAGTTCTTTCGAAAATTTCTCATCCAAATTTCCTTCATCGTCTTTGAGCGTCGATTTGAGAAAGCGATCTTGTAATCCATCCGCAGTGCAAAGAGTCTCCAGGTTAACGGCGGTCAATTTACACTGGGCTCGTGAGGGCACGAACACTATGGCCGGCTTGTCGGACGAGTATGTTGTGACCGCGATGTAGGTGGGTTTGGCCATGGCGATCATCAGCGATTCAAAATGAGGAATGTTATAACTTTGAATGTGAATTTCCAGGGGCACGGGACGGACGCTCGGGTGAAAATTGAAGATGGTGTGCGGTGTCGTTCCTATCCACTCCCCGAGGTCCTGGGCATTGGCCAATGATGTACTCAGGCAGACGATGCGTATCGGATTCTTTGTCTGATGAGCAATGTAACGCATGCGTGATACGATTATTTCGTACGTTGGTCCAACGTCGCTACCTATTAGGTGCAATTCATCTGCAATAAATAATGCAACATTTTGAACGTTTTTACGTTGCTTCCATCGGCGAGACATGACGTCCCATTGCGTAGGTGTGGCAAATACGACATCGCCAACTTCCAACAAGCGAAGATCCGCACTGGTTTCCCCGGTAAGCGATACTATATTCTTCCCACCCTGAAGTGCGCCAAATTTTTTCATCCACTCGGCCTTTATTCGATCGACCACCTCTTGGAATGGCGCGATGTAAACACAACGACCATGGTTTGGCTTGGACCACAGACGAAGAAGAGAAAATTCTGCGCAAATCGTCTTTCCACTCCCAGTAGGCGCACCAACAAAGACGTTATCATCCGTATTGTACAGAGCATTAAATACTTGTGTTTGAATAGGGTTGAAATTCTCAATCCATCGTTTATACACATCCTCGTATTCGGGATTTCGCAATGCGGATACGGGCAAGGGTTGTAAGTCAAGCAATTCGGTATGGGGTGGATACTTTTTGGGGAGTATCAAGTGCCTAAAGGAAATTGGCAACTTGGTTTCGCAGTGTAACCAACGATCGGAAATTATAGAGATGAAATAATTGGGTGGTAAAGGTTCGAAGAGTGGTACCGTGAATGTTATAACATGATCCTCCTCTGCATACTTTTGTTTTAGAATAAAGGAATCGTGGTACAAGATGACCTCTCCGTCCACGTCTTCGACCAATACCCAAAATGCCTCGGCCATTCCATGAACTTTCTCGTCCCATTGGAAATCCGGCGTGATCTTGAGCTCAACTCGCAACAGCGAACGGGTTATAGGCTGCACAAAAGTCTGCAACTCCAATTTAGGAAATTGATGAACATACTTGTGAATCATCTTACCGGCTTTAGGAACGCCTACGAGTTCACCTATCTCTTGAGGATTTAAATCAAAGTATCTTTCCCAGGGAAAATCTTTCTTTTCAATCCTCTTGATCAAATCCGGAGCTATTAACTTGAACTGATGCAAAGGCGACATAGAGAGCCACATACGTTTCTCCACCATTTTACAAAGATCCAGAGCCCTTCGTGAAAGTTGAGCCCAGCCACGTTTTAAACAAATTTCGAACATGGCGCGAAGAATTCGACTCGCTGACTGAGTCACATACACCATATCGGAAACAAGTGCGAATCCGTCTAACTTGAGCTGGGAGATGTAAGATTGTAGAAGAACATTGATCTTTGACGTTGGTTCCTCGATACCTTCCTTGACTGGGACAGGCACACGTTCGAGTAATTTCGACAGCTCGAGTTTCTCTTCCTCTCGCACGGGAATATACTTGAATTCATCGGATAGAGCAAATACACGGAACAACTCGATGTGACCCATCATTGGTTTCAAATGTTGATTGTACGTTGCCATCGATGTGTGCGTGATATAGAAATGCGAAGCGATACGTCCCAACTCAGTGACTTGAAATCTGCCGGTTTTCTTATCATATTTAATCAAATTGGATTTATCCAACAGCAATGCGGCAGAGTGTATCAAATCCACTCGTTTTTGTCCAAGAAACTCATCCTCCTCCAATTGATCTATCGTGATGCCGTAAAGAGTCGGATTGCGCAACATTCGCACGAACAGATACGTATATCCTAACCACTCAACCGCTTCATCGCGATTTCTCACAGTTCCCAATACGATTTCTGCATTCAGATTGTCCGGTAGTCTGTTTATGAATTGACTTTCAATAGGTAGCTGTTGGTTTAGAAGCGATAAATAATACTGAAGTTCGGTGTGCGAAGTGATTATGACGCCTTCACCAAAGGTGTCATATTGAGGACGACCTGCACGACCCAACATCTGAAGAACATCTTGAGGACTCAATTCAACCCATCGACCCTTCTCCGGTGAGTATATCTGAGTACCTTTTATTATAACCGAGTGGGCAGGTAAGTTGACACCCCAAGCCAATGTTGCTGTGGAAAACAAAACTTGAATATGTCCGTCTGCAAATAATTCTTCTACCAAAGTGCGGTCCGCACGCGTCATTCCAGCGTGATGGATGGCAAATCCATAAGGCAATAAATCTTGTAGGTTCGCGTCCTTAACGGTAGAAGATTCGGTCTGCAAAATTTCGCGACTCGCAGAGTCCTCCCTGAGAAATTGCCCGATCGTATCCTTTTCAAGTGCCATGTCCCTAATTGTCTTTGCTGTTTTTGCCGTTTCCTTGCGTGAATGAACGAATATGAGAACCTGGTTTTTACCTGCCTGTTCCATGACCTTAAGATAGGTTACTTCATTCATAACCTGAAATCTCTTGATGGCCTTTTTTTCGGTGACACCAATAAACTCTTGTTTCAAAGGACACGGACGATAAGCACCATCAAAGTGAAATAATCCTATCTCCGGCTTCACCCGCAAGAAAGTGGCCACATCGATATAATTGGGGAGCGTTGCCGAAAGACCCACCAACCTAATTCTCTCTTGCGTCTGTTCCATATGACGAATCGTTCGCGCCACAATGCTTTCCAGAACCGGCCCACGATCGTCGTGAAGTAAATGCACTTCGTCAAAAATCGTGAGTCTAACAAGCTTCGTGTAACTCCTGTCGGTGGCTTTTCTTGTAATCACGTCCCACTTCTCGGGTGTAGTCACTATGATCTGTGTTTCGGATATCTGCTGCTTGGTGAGTTGACGATCACCGGTCAACTCGGCGACCTTTATACCGTAAGGTTGAAGACGAGTTGAAAAATTGCCGACCACCTCTTGAACAAGAGCTTTCATTGGAGCGATATAGACAACCTTAAATTTGTCAAAATCTATAAATCCATCGTCCTGGCGCCATTTGCTCATTTCATTGAGGATGCATAGCATAGCAACATTGGTTTTCCCTATGTTTAACAAAATAAGGAACCCGTTGAGATTGGTAAACTGATAATCAATGTCATAATAATTAAAGAATTATTTCTACCTGAACCGGTTGGAGCACACAGTAATATGTTTTCATCTGTACCAAATGCAACTGGGTACAGCTTGCTTTGAATACGATTGAGTGTTTTTGCTCCTTTAAAGGCGTCTTGAATCCACTCTTGTAGATCGCCTATTGGTATGAGCGTTTCATTCTCGGCAAACGGTTTCGGTTTAGGTGCTGGTACGTGAATTTCTTCATAACCTTTCTTGGAAATCTTATGAGATCCATCGGGCAACTTGCACTTCTTATTAGACATCAAATGTCCACCCTGCGTGAACACCAACGATTCGAGGTCAATTACAGTCTTGGGTGTTGCCGTCGTAACCGGAGGCAAAGTAGCCTTGACAGAGGCAGGAACAGGACCATGCGCCGGCACCGGTTTTTCATCTATCTCCATTGCGTCCTCAACCACACCCTTTCGGGCGGCTCCTTCACCGCGACGAATTCTCTCTCCCCCAAGGTCCTTGAGAATCCATTCTAATCCTCGTTCGCGGATCTCTCGTTCAATATTTTGACGCCTGACGGTATCTGTTCCAGCCTTAGCGAGTTGAGTGCACCATAAAATTAATTCCCTATTTCTTGTCAGTATCTTGACAAGATCAAATTTGTCATAATCAAAAAGATTCATTAATTCGTTTTCACAATCACGAGTGTTAATGTCCGACTCGAGTATTTGCATAGTGTTCGAAGTCTTCTCCTGTGCTGTGTGTGGATCTGGATAATAGTTTGATATCAGACGCTGAAGCCAGAAGGCATCAATATCATGTGGAGATATCTTTTGTACAGCTTGTGCACCAGTGACCTTCTTTGGTTTTGCGGTATCTGGTCCAATAACTGTACGAAACCCTTCGTTCTCCTCGTCAGAGATGAACTCTCGATCTTCATCATTTTCAACTTGACCAACACCTAATACGCCCGTTGTCACCGCCTCTACGCCACCCTCATCATCTTCTTCCTCTTCAGACTCAACTTCATATTTTCCAAATTCGTCTTCTTCTTCTTCCTCCTCGTCAAAGACAACAGCGACTCCAAGTTCATCATCAATCTCTCCTGAAAGTTCACCATCCTTATCTAAATTCATGGCATCCCCATGATGATAATCTGTAATTTTTTTCCCTAGATTCACTAGCTGTGCAAACCTATCGGATGCAATGGTACCAATAACTGTTTCGATATCCTTTTTCTTGTCAAAATCTTTAAGCATGTCATTTTTCAAAATTTGTAAGATATCATCTGCCGCACTTCGAATTACGTCTTGGGCTTGATCACCGAGGTTTTGATGAACAAATGCCAAGATCAACTCATATGTTTCCCTGGTCTCTTTCGTCCGTGGTCTGTAAGACAACCCGTCAAAATATTCGGTAGCTGCCAGCACATTAGAATACCCGTAAGCCTTTTTCAACGCACTAAAAGCACCATGTTAACAATATGATACCAAGGAAAAGACAATCTTGTAAGAAAAAGAACGATCAGACAAACCTCTCCTCCTTTCTTCTCTTCTTTTTCTCTTCTGCTTCTGCGGCTTCCTGAGCCTTTTTCTTTTTTGCCTGTAAATCTTTCACGGTGCTCCTTTGAGCTCGACTACCAAAATCTTTAGGATTGATTTTCCCCCATAAAGATTCTGGCTCACCAGAAGGTTCATGATCTCGACGTGGTAATTCTGATCGATTTGCTTGTAGGACGAGATTAGAATTAGCAGTGTATTGATATTGATTACCTCTAGCAACTTGCTCGGCCATGTTCGTTGCTTGAGATTGAGCTGTCGAATTAGCGTTTTGAAGTGTACGTGTTATATATATTTATTGCACGTACACGGATGTGTCAATTAGTAACTCATCACACATTACGTAATTTCCTGCTAGATTTACGAATAGTGGTACTTTTTACCAAACACTAACTTTTGAATATCTTTTTTTAAAGATGGCTGGTCGAGGGCTTCCCATGATTGTAGGTGGTTCAAATTGAAATTCTCTCGCTTGAACCTAGAGCTTTTAGCTCAGATTCGCGTCACTAGAGCGCGTTTAGGTCATTCTGTAGCCTGACAATATGACGTGTTAGATGCTTTGATAGAGTAATACTGCCATATATCTTTTACAAATTTTTCACTCTTTTTTTTTTTAGCAACCTCAAATCATCTTACTCAAAGAGGGCACGGATGCTTCTCAAGGTCGAGGTCAACTTTTGTCAAATATAAATGCTTGTTTGGCGGTAGTTGACACGGTAAGAACGACTCTAGGTCCCAGAGGCATGGACAAATTGATCGTTGATGAAAAAGGTAATTCTATATGGAAAGATGTAATGTTCTTGTGCAAACATCTTGCCGCTAATATAATGCCGGTATTGCTTACTTTCAGGGGACGTCACTATTTCAAACGATGGCGCCACAATCATGAAGCTCCTCGATATAGTACATCCCGCGGCCAAAACTCTCGTTGATATTGCTAGATCGCAAGATGCAGAAGTGAGATCTTTCACTTGAACACCTGTGAAATTCAAATCACCTTAATGTTACGTGATGCATTCGGCTAACACCTAACAAAATAGGTTGGAGATGGGACAACGAGTGTAGTCTTACTCGCGGGTGAATTGTTGAAAGAAGTCAAAGGATATATTGAAGAAGGAGTGAGCCCTCATGTTATAATCAAAGGTTATCGGAAAGCTGCTCAATTGGTAAAGAATTTTATTGCTTTGTTAACTCTCGTTAAATAAAAACATGCCATTAATAATCTAACAATCAAATTAAAAGGCCATCAACAAGGTTAAGGAGATTGCCGTCAAGATTGAACGCGACAATAAGGAGTAAGTTCTTGTAGTGTACTTTTAAACGAATTCAATTGCTATATCAATTTTTTCCACTTAGAGAATTCCGAAGTTTGCTCTTGAAATGTGCTGGGACGGCAATGTCCTCCAAATTGATTCATTCACACAAAGATTTCTTCTCCAAAATGGTTGTTGATGCAGTATTGACTCTAGACCAAGAAGAATTGAATGAAAAGTTGATTGGAATCAAGAGAGTTCCTGGTGGCGCCATGCAAGTGAGCTTCATAATAATCATGATCTGTGTATACATGATAATTCCTTACAATGATGTCATCCATAAATTCAAAGGATTCAATTATTGTTAACGGTGTCGCGTTCAAAAAAACCTTTTCTTACGCGGGGTTTGAGCAACAACCTAAAGCTTTCACCAATCCTAAAATTTTATCGCTTAATGTTGAACTGGAATTAAAAGCAGAAAAAGATAACGCAGAAGTTCGCATCGAAGATGTCTCCGTATGTATCATCGCCTCGTTTTTTCAAAAGTTTTTACATGCGTTAACATTTGGATCATAATTAGGAGTATCAAGCCATCGTCGATGCAGAATGGTCGATTATATTTTCAAAGTTGGAAAATATTGTCAAGACAGGGGCCAAGGTAGTATTATCAAAGTTACCCATTGGTGATTTAGCCACTCAATACTTCGCCGATAGAGATATTTTTTGTGCTGGTCGAGTACCTGCCGAAGATCTTAATCGCGTAGTAAAGGCTGTTGGTGGATCTATTCAATCCACATGCTCCGATATTGAAGAAAAACATTTGGGCACATGCGAACATTTTGAAGAAAAGCAAATTGGAAATGAGAGGTACAATTTGTTTCAAGGTTGTTCGGCGGCAAAAACGTGTACACTTATTTTAAGAGGAGGCGCTGAACAATTCATTGCTGAGGTCGAACGCAGTCTACATGATGCCATAATGATAGTCAAAAGAGCCATCAAGAACAATTTGATAGTCGCTGGAGGTGGAGCTACGGAGGTTCGCAATTTATATTGTTCCTAATTCACCTGAAACGTTGTTAATATGCAGATACTATTTATTTCAAAAACCAATAGATGGAACTTTCTAAATATCTTCGCGACCACTCTCGAACAATCGTAGGAAAGCAACAATTGATTATTGGCGCATTTGCGCGCGCATTAGAAATTATTCCTCGTCAACTGTGTGATAATGCCGGCTTCGATGCGACAGATATTTTGAATAATCTAAGGATGAAACATGCTCACGGTATATATTCGTAAGAATTCATATCATATGGAATTAAATAATGTTAAATTTTATATCACATATTATAGGTGCCATTTGGTATGGTGTCGACATTAACACGGAATCTGTTGCCGATAATTATGAAGCATTCGTTTGGGAACCAGTAATCGTGAAGGTTAATTCTATAGCTTCTGCCACAGAGGCCGCGTGTTTGATATTAAGTGTCGATGAAACGGTGAAAAATCCGCAATCTGAGAAGCCACAAGCGGGCCCACCGATGCCAAGAGGAGCAGCACAGAGGGCATTTAGAGGTCGTGGTCGAGGCATCCCTCGTCGATGAAATGGAATAAGGGTTTAAGTTTTGGTGTTAATTCCCGTCCGGAAAAAAGAACAAAAGACGAAAAAATCTGCCTCCAGCCAATCAGACTCAACCACCAGATGAAAGCAAATTTGTTATTCAACACAATAAAAAAGTTCCTTTTACCTGCGAATTATTAAATATGTTGGTAAAGTGATTGTTCCTGACGATATAGGGTGTTTGCAATGATACGGTCAAATAGATATGCTAATTGCTGTAATACGAAAATAATTAATAAAGTTTATCATATTTAAAAAAAATAAATTAGTTAATATATACTGTACAAGCATAAAGGCTTGGGCTATGTTTCAAGTTTAGCTATTTAAGTTTTAAAAATGGTAAAATTGGATTTAATTTTATATTTTTATATAAAAAATAGTTTTTAAATATATTTTAGTTAATTTTAGAATAGTAAAAAAACTTGAGCCATGTTTTAAATTTAATTATTTAAGTTTTATTTTTTTTAATTTTTATTTTTTTAAATTCTTAAATTTTTAAGTAAAAAAAATATTTTTTATATACAGTATTTTAAGTAAAAAAAATATTTTAATTTTAATAATGTAAATATTTTGGTTAAACTTCAAGTTTAATTATTTGAATTTTGTTTTTTTTATATATGGTAGTTGATTTTAAAATAATAAAAAAACTTGTTTTAGTCTTATTGTTTTAATTTGGTTTTAATTTTTAATTTTCAATTTTTTTTAAATTTAAATTTTTGAATAAAAAAAAATATATTTTTCATATATTTAATTTTAAAAAGTGCAAATATTTAGTTTATACTCAAGTTAATTATTTGAATTTTATTTTAAATTTAAAAATTATATTTAATTTTTATATTTTTATATAAAAATTGATTTTTTAATATATTTTAATTGATTAATATCAACTCTTTCCACTGATTCTCTGACTACATACAAAAAAAGATGCTCACAAGAAGTTTTTATACTTTCTTGCTAATAAAGTCTTAATACTTTCCTTAAAACAACTTGAAGTATGACTTCAAG